CAGTATTTCTGCACTACAGAGTAAGCAAGTAGATGCTGAAACGACAGGTATCATATCAAATACTTGATTTAAATGTTACTAACTGGTGGATGATATAAAGCCAGGTTTATTCAACCTGCTGACATGGGAAAGTAGCAGCTTGAAAGAGGGATTTAGAGAAACAAATGTGAAGATCTTGGACTAAAGTTACTATAAGGGTTGTTTTAGGGCAGAAGTTAAGGAATGATGCCTAAACAAATGTTGGTAGAATTCTTACAGTAGGCAAAAGGTAATGTCACCTTCAGAATGCAGATCTACAAAGAGCCTGAGTTAAACCAGCTGATGAGCACTTTCTGTCAGAACAGAGGCTCTGAAACAAGCTGGTGTTGGAACAATGGTGTGCAGTCTCTGAAGATGTGCAAAGTGCGCCATTTGAATTTCTTACCATAAAAAAGCAAATGTAGTATATAATACGCACATGTGCCATGAATTTGTTCCTTTATGATTCCTTTCCAAGATTAGACTGTATCCTAGCACTTACAAAGCTAACCAGTACCAACTGCGGTGTCATATGACTATAAAGGCATGAACCTTTTCTGGTGATACTTAAAGTCACATGGACCTTGTTGGGTACTTATGCATAGGTAGTATTTTACATAAACTGTACTTTCTCTTACTATTGTATTTCATTCTCAATAAACAAATATAATATAATAATAAGAAAATATATTTTAAAATTCTACTTTCTACTTTGAGCCATTTTATGTTTATACCAAATAAATGTTTAATTACCTAAATTCTACCTTTCCCAGTAAGAATTTATACCCCTTCCCCAAATATCAGAGCATTACATGCTGCTTGATAGAAAACTAAAGTAATAGAAGAGTCAAGACGGAATTTTATTAAAAAAAATAGCAAAAGCGTTCTCTAATGCTTCTATGAATGTGTTGTTGATTATTAATATTTAATATTGATTTATCTTTTACTTAAACAACAGTTATTCCTAAACCAGCTGTATACTCAAACACTACACAGAGACTAGGATTTATTTAATTAACCTAGAACACAATGCTGGGCAATAATTACTCCAGCCTAAAACTTCTAAGCCTGCATAGCTTCCTCCCATTCAGATTTCCCACATTTTACTTGCTTTTTAGATATATCTTAGGTCTGGTTGGTTCATCTGTCCTGTTTCCAGGTCCTCTCCTCCTAGCTCTCTCTTCCCAACTCCTCCCACTCACTTTTTTCCCCTCCCTTCTGGACCAGGATGTCCCACCTTATTTTCTCCATTGTTCGGCATTGGCTGGTTGTTTTATTGACAACACAGAGAACAAATGGTGGCACGTTTACATAACCTTGAGACAGGTGATGCTTAGAATAAACATCACAATGCAATGTTTAGATTGAAACCAGATAGTGGGGTAGAGAAAAAAGCATTTGAATGAACAAGGGTATATTATATACATTCCACAAGAACATTATACCAACAATAATGAGTTTATCAGGAAAAAAAACTGAATAAATTAACTCTCAGATTGAGAACATAGTGAATGAGAATTGCTGACAACATACAGACCATTTAAGATAAAAGGCTGTAAGGAAAGCCTCTCCATAGGTGGATAGTCCAGAATTTTATGGAGAATCTCATTCTGAAGATAATGAATAAAATTTACCTATCTGTGCTAGTTAGTTTTTATTGTCAACTTGGCAGTCACCTGATAAGAGGGAATCTCAATTAAAGAATTGCCCAGATCCATATTGGTCTGTGGCCAAGACCATAAGAGACTGTCTTGATTGATGATTGATGTGGAAGGGTTTAGCCCACTGTGGGTGACACCATCTCGAGGTACACAGATCTGGGTTGTGTAAGAAATCTAAGCCCAAGCCTGAGAGTAAGCCAATGAACAACATCCACTATGGGTCCTATTTCAGATCTTGCCCTGACTTCCCTCAAAGATGGATTAAGATCTAGAATTGCAAGCTAAAATAAACCTTTACTCTTCAAGTGGTTTGGGTCCTAATGTCTTGGCCTAGTAAGAGAAAATAAAATTAAGACACTATCAAAACTCCAGCCTAAAGTAAAAGCACTATTGCCCTTTGTGGTTTAGCATTTATAATTTTAATTAAAATATATCATTTTCTTTCTTCCCTTTTCTCCTCCAACCTTTCTCATGTCCTGTCTCTCTCATCCCTCTCATGTTCCCCATCACTCCCTGTCAAACGCATGTTTTTATCATTGTTGTTGTTATTAGCAGTAGTAGTATAGTAATAGTAGATATGAGTAAAGATATAAATACACCTACTGAGTCAGCTTGGTGTTCATTGTGTGTCTATGATTTCAGAGCTGACCACTTGAGTCTTAGATAACCATTTAAGAGGCCCATCTTTGAGATAGACCAATTCTCCCTCTCTTAGCAGTCATTAGCAGCTGTTTGTCTACGCGTGGGGCCCTGTGAGATTTCCCATTCCACCCTAACGTACTCATTGGTGTTGTCCTTGTTCAGCTCTTATTTAGAAAGCCATATTGCTGAGATATAGATGTAGCTTCTCTGTCATTTCTAAGAGATACAATCGTGCAGCGCACTTTCTGGTTCTCTGAGCCTTAGATGTAGGAGTTGCATTGTAGCTGTCTCCACTGGAATGCTGGGTACCCACAATCAGTTGAGCTCTTCATGTTGACCAGTTTTCTGTGATGGTCTCCATATTCTACAAAGAGAAGTTTCTTGACTGAGGAGTGAAAGCTACACTTACCTTGTGTCTAAGAATAGGTTTTGGAATACAGTTAGAAATTACACTGATCTGATGAAGCGAAGGGAATAGGTTCTCCTCTAAGATTTGCAAGCTCACTATCACTTGGTAGTTGGCTATGTTTTCATTATCATACATGATTCCCCTTCTGTTGAGCAGTTCTAACTCATATTTTGGTTACCACCAAGATATGAGTGCCACTATTGTACCTTTAGAAAGATCTTGTCATGTTGGTCATTGTAATTCATAGAAATCGCAGCTGAGTGGGGCTATCGTTTGCTTCCCTCCTTTATCAGCTTCCAGAACACCTTCTGGTACTGTGAAAACTAAACTGTAGGAGGGAGGCTTTCAAAGTTAGATCCAACTTGAATCTTCTAGGCTATGTGTCAGGGGTGTGTGGTGTCTTCAGCAATAGGGACTTACCTTCTGCCTTTGGGAAGCAACCAAGAGCAATAGCAATAGCCTATATTGTTTTGTGAGTCTCTTGGACTATGCTAACCAGCAAATCAAAAGGAAATTTCTCATGCCTGGTACTAGAGATTTTATTAGATCACTCTTAGGGAACGTTTTGTCAGCCCAAGTGTGATAACATCATTTCAAGTACATATGTAAATATGTATGTATATGCATACATTCAGACATATATATGCACTTGTACACATTCATATATACATACACATACATGTTTTGCTCATAATTTCAGGTAAATATAAATTAATTGAGGCTTTTAAAAACATTCTTAGTATTATTTGTCCCTTTTCCCTCTTCTGTACTGATCTCCCTTCCCCCTCCCCACTTAAAAGCCCCCTCCAGTTTTTCCCATTTCTCCTTTTGAAAGCATGATTGCATTTGTTCTCTCTGACTTTTATCTTCAAGTAGACAATGACTATTGCTAGTTATAATTTCATATTTTAAGTTTCCCCTTATGAAATATACATTTAGAGGATTTTATTTTTCATCAGCTTTTGTCAACATTATTTAAAATTTAAATTTATAGAATGTCCGAATTCTCTGGTTCTTTTTGTCAATCAGTTCATTAAATATTCAAAGGAATTGCTACTGAACATCTTTCTTGTGCCATTCAATAGTTAGTCTATGCTCATGAACTTCTCACACACTTTGTGAGCTGAGTGTTCTTTTTGCCTCTGTCCACAGCATGGAAAGTCAGATATAAGAAGTCTGACCACCACACACCTATCTCTGGATGTTCTCTTCTCTCTGCCACTCTGCCCGAGCCTAAAGCAATTCACATAGAAAGGATGATCTCTCCTCTCTGTTCCCCATGTTAATTTTAGAAGCTATGAAACCTAAGTTCTAGAAAACAGATCACAAATGACACCGTATACTTTTTTAAATAAAATTATCAGAGCTCTTTTCTATTACCTATTACATAAGTGTGATGGCTCATACCCGTAATCAAGAGGCTGAGGGAGAGGGACCACAAGTTCCAGATCTGCTTGGGCAACAAAGTGAAAAGCAAAGCCTGCCTTGATAATTAATTAATCAATCAATAGGTCAATCAATCAATCAATCAATTTAAAAAGTCTAGGTGGGGCTGGAAACATAGCTTGATGATTAAGAGCTCTAGCTGCTCTTTCAGGGGACCTGGTTTCAATTTCTAGTACCCACATGGCAGTTCACAACAGTCTGGGCCTCTAGTTCCAAGGATCCACTGCCCTCTTCTGGTCTCTGCAGGTGCCAGGCATGCACATGGTGCACAGACAGACATGCAAGAAAAAAACACCCAAAATCATAAAATATTTTTTAAATGTAAGAATCTAACGCTGTAGCTCAACAACAGAACTCCTCTCTTTTGCCTAGGGCACTTATATAAAGCCATCATGTCAATACCCAGTATGACAAAAAGAACAGACAAACAAAACATTGTCATATCTCTAATTTTCAGGATCGAGAGAGAGACTTTCAGCTATCCAAAACTAGAAGCAATTGAAGTGTCACAATGTTGAAGAGATCATGGATGGGTAGACATCTCCAGATGGCTACTTTGTCTTCATGTCAACCCAAAGATTTGTTCCATGCTAGCTATTTTCTCATTTGCCTTCAATAAGAAAGTCTATCAAGGTTATTTCTCTATCAGATCTTTATATTTTAAGGGCCCAAATAATCACATAACCTCTAAAGAGGCACAATCTGTAATGATTAGGACATTCATTTTGTTTTCTATGACCTTCCCAGACCATACAACTGTTCCAGTTTTCTAACTGGGGTTATTCTTATAATGTGTACTTGTACCCTCTCGCCATCTTCTGCAGGACTGCCCACCAGAAGCAGGTGATTTCCGAGCTCAGCAGTGTTCTGCTCATAACGACGTCAAGTACCACAGCCAGTTTTATGAATGGCTTCCTGTGTCTAATGACCCTGACAACCCATGTTCACTCAAGTGCCAAGCCAAAGGAACCAGCCTGGTTGTTGAACTAGCACCGAAGGTCTTAGATGGTACACGATGCTATACAGAATCACTGGATATGTGCATCAGCGGCCTATGCCAAGTAAGTGCTGAAGTCTCACCATGAGACTGGTCCAGAGCTCTTGTGCCTGCAGGTAAATAAGCTCCTCAGAGTTACTCAGTTACCTTCTGAGAGTTTATAAAGAGTTACAGATGTGAAGATGGTAATTTAAGTGAATGGTATGGATACTGTATTCCATGCTGATGTTAAGACTGCAGTTGGGTTTTGTTTGTTTGCTTGCTTGCTTGTTTGTTTGCTTTTTCATTCATTGAATTATACTTGAATGGGAGAGAATAAAAAAATTGAATATTGTACTTTGATGACGAATTTTGAAAATACCTATACTTCAAATGTTCCTGAAAATTGGAAAGGGGCCGATGAAGGAAGAACAGGAGAAAAGAAGTGTGTGTGTGTGTGTGTGTGTGTGTGTGTGTGTGTGTGTGTGTGTGGTGTATGCATGAGAGAGAGACAGAGAGGGACAGAGGCAGAGAGATGGACAGAGACAGAGAGAGGTGTGTTAGGTGTGTTCTCAGACATCCATTTTCATTTACATAAAATTTCAGAGTGACTTGGGTAGGAGAACTCACCTTACTGCTTGCAACTATATTGAAAATTCACACAAATTGTAGCAAGAAGCAGGCATCTAAGAATTGGGCTGGATGTCAGACAAGTAACACTTAAAATCCAAGAATATATAAAAAGGGGTTGATTTCTGCCGTCAACTCATCAGAGTGTATTTGAAGACTCAGCAAGGCAACAACAAGTCATGTTAGTGTGTTTGCCACGAACTTTATTTGCAGGCCCACCTTTTGGAATGTGATGAGCAATCTACATTATAGAGTGAGAAGGTCCTCTGAATGTTATTGTCCACAATGTTCTCTTATGTGTCACAGTACAGAAATTTTAAGAACATTCGCCTCAAGTGAGAAGACATTGATTGAGTCTGACTCTATGGTATAAAAGCTTATAATATGAGAAAAATATGAAACATGCTTCAATGAGTTGTTTTAAATTTACTTTTTTAAGAACTTTAATCTACATATTGATTTATAAGAAAAGTGCCATGTAAATTGTTATAAGAGGTGAGAGGTTTTCTGGGTGAGAGGGGAAACAGATGCAGTCTATCTCTGAACGGGTTAGAACAGTGATGCAGGAAGAGGCATGTGCAAGGTTTCCCGGAGGAGAAGGGAGAAGAGATACATATATCAGCTATTTCTTTTTATAGATGATATATGAATTCCAGGTGTAAATGTGAATATAGGTTTTCACTGTTCTCAAGATTGCAAGGGTCTCAGTACCTACATACCTTTAAAAGCAACATGTGAAGAACATTATCTGTGGTATTTTAAAATTATTTCTGATTATTTATCAATAGAGCTAGTGAAGCAGGAGAGATGTCTGGCTCAGAGGCTTAGAGGGTGTCCATTTCCAGAGGACCCAGCTTCCTTTCTCAGCACCATGTTAGGAGATTCACAACCACCTGACCCTTTACCTCCTGGGGATGGAATACCCTCTTCCCACCTCCACCTGCACACACATGGCGTATGCTCACAAAGATACACACACACAAGTACAAATCAATTTTTAAGTGTCCTGCCAACAAGGACTCTTGATTTGCTGAAATGGAATTGTGAAATATGTAAAACTAGGAATAGCAAAGAATCACACGGCAAATAAACATTCAGAGAAGACTGCACCGCGAGCAGGGGAGGTGCGCTCTCTTGTCTGTGTGCACTGCTTCAGTGCCTACAAAGAAAATTCCAAGGGCTAGAAGATGTGCATGATCAAGTGACCATTACATCACGTCAGAAACAGGACTAAACTCTTCTAATACCCATGTCAGTGTTGTCTCTACAGTACCATATTTGCAAATGATCCAAAATCAACAAGACAGGTCAGCAAATTAGGTTTCAGTTGTTTCTGTTGCATGATAGCACAACCTGGCATGTTTTCTCCCTGGGTTTTCTTCCTGCCAGCTGGCCTCATGTACCTTGTTAACTAAAAGAGAATCCTATCTCAGCAGCTGAAAAAAAAATAACTTCTACATGAATAAGTATGGAGAGAGAGTGCTCTGATGGGATTGGTAAGTCTACATGGACCTTCTTTAATTTAGACTTACACAATTGTGATTTGTTTGATTTGGGAATAAATGTAAATTGTAGCATTGTTTGAAACAGTGGTTCTCAGCCTTCCAGGTGTGTGACCTTTAAATACAGTTCCTCACGTTGTGGTGACCCCAACCATTAAATTATTTTTGTTGCTGCTTCATAACTGTAATTTTGCTACTGTTATGAATTGTAATGTAAATATCTGTGTTTTCCAAAGTTCCTAGGTGACCTCTGTGAAAGGTTGTTCAACTCACCAAAAGGGGTCATAACCCACAGATTGAGAATCACAGATTTAAAATGAATGTGATCCATATATATAAATTAGAACTGAAGATTACTGATTTATTTCATATGTAAGGGGCAGTGCTATAGTGAGGCAAGAAAACTCAAATTCCATTGTAACTCCAAAAAGTAGCAAGATTTGGATGGAGAAAGACTGGACCACCGGTTGAAAGTGAGAAAAAAAAAAGATAATTTTGTAAATAATCATGGAGGCAGATAGGAGCATAATATCTGAAGTGAATGACCAAGGAGTAAATGACCAAAAAAGACTTTAACATGGAAAGACAGGCTCACAATTCTTCTTTAGAATGATCGGGATGTAAAGTGAATATATAAAATAAAAATGAATTAAAAAAAAAAGATCATTATAGCCTCCGTGATGAGAAGCCCTGGAGCCACTGAAGCCAGCTGTAATGGAGGGTCCTGTACCAGCCCAGGAGGCCAAAAGCATTAGTGTTTCCCTGGGTAACAACAGCAGAAACAGAAAGAACACTACATCTGGATTGAAGACACTTTCACGAGGGGGGCTGTGAAAGCAATACATTAACAAATAATTTTAATTTATTAATTATTAATAAATTATAAATAAATCAATACATTAATCAGACCAAACACATCAAAAACTACAACTTAAGGTGGATTCATAAAGGGTGTAAGCTCAGTGCTTTCTGCTTCATCATCATGTGTGTGTTTCAGTCAAGCCAACCTAAATTTTCTAAAGGACGCAAAAGGATGGGCGAGGGGGAGGTGATTGAAGAAGGAATAGATATGAGCAGAGGCCACCGAAGCGATGGAAAGATAGAGATCTTAAGGGCGCTGTGTGCACCCTCAGAATGAGACAGATTATTCAACAAAAGAAAAGCTGAAGCACTCCTTTCTATAGAGAGAAAATAGTCAAATTCTATCCTAGTTGTAAAGTATTTAGCTGGATTTGTATCTGTGATTTGTACTTTCATTTTTAGTAAGAAAATGCCTTATCTTAAAACACAGTTGGGAATTGGTAACTTAATGTGCAATTATATAAACTTGGTCTTCTGTTTCCCTGAAAAATACATTTCCAGCCTCGTTTTTCCTTTCTCTTTTCTACACCATTTGTTAAAGATTCTTAGCTTTTTGTCTGGCATTTTGTCTTAGAATTTCTCAAAAGCAGCTTTAAATATTTATGAGGGCAGTAATATGAATCACAAACTATTAAGAGTAATTTTTTTTAATTTGACATAATCACCTTGTTAGAAAATGATGCAGTGATTTCTACAGTGACTTCTCCCTCACAAGCACCAATTTAATTTCTTTCCATTTGTCTAATCCCCTTCTAAGAGCCAATTCCTCAAAACTATTTGTTCTTCGTCTCTGCTCTTCAACAGAATCACAGAGTCCTGCAGTTTTACTAATAAGAAGACAGCTCCAGAAGAGGAGGAAGGAGACTCTCCTCTTCTGGAGACCTGAGGACTGGCTGTGAGGCTAAGAAGAGGGTTGGCTCTATATGCTGGCACTTTGCATCAGGAAAATATCAGAAATGTTGCTATTTGTGCCACACACCTCCTTCTTCTTGATAGTAGCAGAACAAAACAGTAGGTGATATATTTACCCTTCTGCCTATAGCAGCAGATATATATATATATAATTTATCTATAAATATATATGAATAAATATATTTATTCTCAGTGGACATGCAGTTTTCCAAATATTTGTGGTTCACATGTCAGACAATACTACCTACCTTCATTTCTCAGATGTAAAAATAGAGGCTCATTGGATTATATGATTTGCCCAGGGTTATCTGATCCTGCCTGACCCCAAGGAGCCTATTACTGCTGCCACAGCCAGGTGCACCAGACACAAGTCTCATTTGGTAATAGTTCCCAAATTTGGCTATATACCAGAATCACTTGGAAAGCACTTATAAGGCACAGCTCTTAAGCCTCATCCACCAGACATTCAAATTTATGAGTTCTAAGTCTTTAACACTATGATTCTATGGCAAAGCCAAATTCATGAACTACTTATAAATTGGAGAGAGGGTATAGGATTTAAAGATAAAGGATAAGAGGTAGAATCTGGCCCTTTTTTTGACCAACTATGTTGGTCAAGGTATGTAGTGTCCTGATACTTTGTTTTAGTCTAAATGAGAATGTCCCACCAACCGTGAAGTACCGAGTGAGGTCACCGCTGTAAAGCTGTAGACAGCTGTGGAAATGTGAAAGACCCTGAGGATTTTTAGTAATACAGCACTATAGTATTGGTTTCGAGGAAGAGAAGGAAAGGCTGAGGAGAGGAGGAAGGAAACAGGTGAGGAAGATGGAGGGAGGATAGCACAGTGGTAGGATGCTCATCTAGCATCCCTAAGGTCCTGTCTTTCACCCCCAGAACCGCACAGCAGAAACAGAGCAAGAGCAATGTCTCTCTACTCTCACTGCCATCGCTTCACAGTTGAAATGATACTAACTAGACAGGCATGAGGACCCAACTCTACACCTTGTGAGACAATTACCTCCCTATACTCTCTTTCTTCTTCCAGAACACAGAAACTGTCACTAGCAGGGCTTTCAGAAAGCGCTTTTTTGGAAAACACTACTTTGAGAATTACCTAGTCCACCCTCAAGACGCAGGGCTGAATTGAGTTGTGTGCCCCTCCCAGGACTTCACAGTTAT